TTTCCGACCTACCTACACCTCCTGTAACTTACACCCTATGTAGTACCTAACGAATAGACAACCTTTCACCACCGCTCGATGATTATTTCCCTCAGTCGAATTCGCCTCGGTTAGCCTCACAGCGAATCAATTCACTTCAGAGACCCTCGTTTAGGCATCCGACCCACGTTTAGAACTTTCTTTTAGCTTCGACTTCGATTTCCGATCCTCGATTTTCGTATTTTCGACCGACTACACTTGGAACGCCTGGTACAGCGTCGTCCTCGTACTATCCAATCCCTCCACTGCGTAATAGACCCAGAAGCGACACTCTCCGAATCCCCGACTCTCGTAACCTTTGCACCTTCGCCCCTTGGGTGTTTTGGTGTTTTGGATTTCCGTCCTCGGCACGCATCTGTAGGGCGAACAGCGCATCAACGCTGCTAATTTACGTTTTTATATCCAGATGTACTCTCCACAGTCGATATATGGGAGTGCAGTCTGCCCAACAAAGTCGTTCCAGGTGTCTGTTTGTCCACGAATTTCGTTTTGTCTTCTCTTCACCAACTCTTTACAAAATGTTTTCCCATTGGAAGTTTACATTATGTATAATGGGAATGACAGACGATTTTGCGTCTTACTCAAATTAAGTCATTCAGGAGGTCTTGTAAATCTACGTGTAGTAAGGGATGAAACAACGGGACGTAGGCGAAAGAAAACGATCTCAAGCCAGATCCGAGGCCACCGCTTTGTAATTGATCAGCATTGTTTTCTCCTGCAATGGACCACATCTGGTGACGCCTTCGACAGAACCCTTTTGTGGAAATATCCATAAAAGAGAAGTGCTGTCTATGCAAGTACTATAGCGAAACGTATGGTGGAAATGGCGCTGCGGTGCGTTACGACGTACAACTGACAGACGTTGACGTTGGTAATGGCTGCAACCTTATGCATTATATTGTTTAGAGTTAGACTCAATTAACCCATCCATTCCATTCATATGAAGTGATTCTATTCCAATTTTGCTTCTTTCTGAACGTTATTTTTCTACTAGTAGATTGTTAGAAAATAGCCCTCTCTCTGTATTCGAACTGGTTTTCGGCGGTATTTTCTTGGCAATTTGCCTTTCGTTATTCGTTATCGACTAAGCAATATTTGGGAGGGGTGTGATATGCGTTGCGTTGCCACCATACATTTCGCTATCTTCCAAACAACCGCCTTTATTTTTATATCCGGAATTCCTCTACACCTTCCGAATTCAAAACTTCAATATCACTCAGCTGATTGACTGGTCCATTATTCCCCCGCGTCAGTGCTTATATGGAACGGCGACTACGAGAAAACACTGTCATTCCCGGACTGCTCGGAAGCTTTTGTACTACTCCAAATTGAGCTTCGTCTGCAGCCTCACTTGGAGCTCCATCTTGTTACGACTATTCTTAGCACTCCTGAGCTGCCATCTCTCGGTGAACGCTTGTAAATTCCGAGCGCAGTTGTTAGGCGATTATCTCCTGATATCATCGATGGATCGATAGTAAGTACTTGAGTACGTCGGACAGCATTGGGGTACCGACCGAAAAATAACGATAAAATTATTCATTGGCAAGAACATAGACCGGCTTGGGATGTATACTCAGACTGTTCTCTCATTACAACCACATTCTCGTACATAGCGGTCGACATGCAAATGATATGAGAGCTCGGTTCAAGCGGAACCGTGAGACTGGGAATGGCTTCGTCTCCGAACTGCGGTTCCGAGCCACGACGCAGTTTGTGTGGTTATGTTGTCTCCACGAGGTAAGGATTGAACAACTGATAAAACGATCGTTCTTGAACGATTACATCTATCATCCCTCTAAGGATCACACTTTACCACCACATCTTCACCCTATATTCTCTCTCATTCAAACAGCCTTGCGCTTCAGTAATAGATTGAGACTATCTATACAACTCAAATACAACTATCCAACTATCCAACTATCCAACTATCCAACTATCCCACAAACAAAACTCCTTTGGTATGTCGGCCGAATAATGTCTTCTAATTACGGCGTCTAATCGAAGCCACCCCCACGCCCCGTTTTCTTGCGGCGTAGACATGCCTGGACTCACTCAGATGCAATGCGGAGACGATCAAGAGCGGGACGCTACGCGTATGAAGGACAGGCGCCGCTCGCGTACAGGCCACATACAGCCGCCTCGTGATTTCGACGGTCAGTATGAGTCACACAGCATCGTAAGCCGTCAAGTGTTGCCGACGACGGGATACGTACTTTACGAGCCGCAGTGGACCGGGAGCCCACCCCCAGTCATATTCCATCGTGTGCCGTTACCCCCACTCTTCTCCCGCCCGATGGCCCTTCACCCGCTTCTGACACCTGACGGCCCAGTCTCTCTTAACTGGACGATTTGTCAGAACCCCGTCTATGCTGCTCACACCGCCGGTTTATCTCGTGAAGAGAGGTACCACTGGAAGGCGCTCCCTGCGACATCCGTGCCTAACTATATATCGCTGACGGTCATGGTTGAGCCCTTCGACACTCCGATCGTCATTCTCCCCGCTACATTGAAGGATCCGATCACCATCTGGGATGTACTCGCTACGATCTACAACGCCGTGCGCCGGTTGTCTCTGGAGATTTTGCATGCTGGGTCGCACTCCCCCAGGCAGGGATCGGAATCCCCTAGGCAGGTGTTGTGGACGGCGCCGGCTTCTTCGAACTCTCTTGTTAATCAACAACCATCAATGGGCGACGACGGAGCCTGTACGTTCCTGCGCACGTTGATGAACTTCAATACACGGTGGGAGGGATTAGTCCCGAGCCCCACAGAGAGCGATGTGTGGATCCTTCGTACTAAGGCGATCTTCCAGGGGTAGCCTAAATTGTGCAATGGTCTTTCCTATCAAACATAGCAAACTCACCGTCGACATCTGGTGCTATATTTATCGGTTCTTCAGCCGACTTTCAATCGGACTCGCGTTGACGTCACGGAACGGTATAGCCTTCCCTGCGATCGTCTACCCTGTCGTCTGATTATATCTCTCCCGACTCCTCATCCATAAACTCCATCCATCGCTCACCTTCCAACTCTGATCATGCATCATCCCAATCGTAACACATCCGGACATATTCAGGACAGGTAACTCCACCGCAGCGTAGAGTACAAGGAATATTTCAGTAGATACGTAGATTAACGTTTACTCTCTAGAGAGCCAAATCCAACTTCGTATACACTCAATCCCCACCTAGTAGCGTCGGTAGATTCGTAGCTAGACTTTGTGGGCATGTAGCGCGATAATCATAAGTAGCTGATAAGCCACATCTGGTCTTTAGTGGCGTAAGAATTGGTCCTTCGGGTATTGCCAACCTATATCAATTTGCTGAATGATTATATCGACTCTGATTCTATTCATGCAATGACTATTCTATCTTAATTCAAATTCTGCGATGAGGTTGCCCACATTTTCTCCAACATCAGCAGATCATCCACTGCATCATCAAACATCTTCTCATGCGAAATATAGCTGTCAAGCCCCAGATACTCCCTCGCTCTAGTATTATCCAGATTTGAAGATGGTGCGGGAAGTGGGGGGATGTCTTCGATGGGAATAAGTCTATTTCTCAGCACCTCCCTCGATTTGAAGAGGTATTCAGCGGCTAATTTCCATGTGTACGTCCCGGCATTGACGATGAAGCGGCGCTTATCGGCGGGGAGATCAGGAGCTTCGAGTGCGAGTATGTGACCTTTCGCGACGTCGCGTACGTCTACGAGCCAGTTTGGAGCGGGCGGGGCAGGTTTACCTTGCAGGAGCTCATATATGGTCTCGTTTGTTCCGAGTGTCGATGCCGAAGTGGGAAGGGGGAATGTGCGAGCGTAGGGCCCATGAACGTAACCAGGAACAACTCCAAAAAGATTCAGAATGGGGTGATAATAATAATAAGATGGACTACGCACTCGTTATGATGTCGATGTCGGGATGCTCCTTCCCAAAGTCGAGTAAAGCCCTTTCCATTTTCGATTTCGCACAAAAGTAGATGTAGTATGGGTTCTCCTTATTCTTCTCGAATTCGTCTTCGGTGACATCGTTCCAATCTTATTGATCATAATACAGTCAGTGAATCTATCAAATGCATGTAGAAATATACGCACCTGATTCGTCGATGTTAAAACCTCCAAACACCTTTTCGAATGATGCTGCGAAAGAGATGTGAGCAAAGATGTCACTCATAAGCTAAACAAATTTCGTACGACTAATCAAGGCGCCAAATGAGCTCGTCGCGATAATTTTCTTTATCCCGACCTTCTGAGCTTGTTGAACTACGTTTAATGTTCCTTCGATAGCTGTCTATCTCTGCCAATCAGAGTTTTGATCAAGACCAAATTAACGACGGCGAACTCACAAAAAATGTATCATCCAATCCCTTTCTCCCAGCCAGTGGACATGCCGTATGCAACACAGCGTCGACTCCCTTCAGCGCTTCGGTAAAATTGCCAGTTGCAACGTCATCGATTTGAACGAAATCTAATCCAGGCTTTTTTATGGTATCAACGAGAGTGCGATACTTAGCGCCTCTTGCTGTGCTTTATGGGCGATTATACTACATTAAAATAACGCGATGGCGATGAATACGAGCAACGCACCCACGGACGCGATATCCCCGCCCAAGCAGTTGCTCCACGACATGACCTGCGATAAATCCATTGACGCCTGTAATCTACCACACCGTTTAATCCCAATTGAATTCAAAGACAGACAGGAGATGAAAACGCACCAGGATGAGTTTGCCAGACATGTTAGACGAGAATGACAATACGGCTCGAGACTAGTACTTTGGTGCATATATGAATCAAATTCAACGGAGCAAGGTAAATGATACAATCAAACGGTGAACATGGATTGAGATGACCTCGACCATTTACCTGTCTCCTACCATGGTCCATTCCCCATTCCAGGAGACGCATACGCACTCGTATTCGTTCTCCCCAGCCCGACAGACTCTTGCACAATGCAGAAGAATGGCAACGTGGCCGAGTGGTCTAAGGCGCTGGAATTAGGTGTGACTCAAATATGTCCACGAAATCAATCCAGTCCGAAAGGGCGCGAGTTCGAACCTCGCCGTTGTCACTGAAGGTAAAGTCGTAAATCGACTATTTTTTTGAGTTGAACTCTGAAGCAGTGAAGATGTAGGTAAGGCTCCAACCATATAGTATAGGTATAGACGTCAGCGGGTCATTATACATATACGGTTTCCTATAGTATAATTACTGTATATATACAGTTATACCATTGTTTTATACCGTTGTATCTTTCGAAA